CAGTCATGACCCCGCTGAGGTCAGCGTGACCTCCGGGGTGGAGTCAGTGGACATGTTTGTTCACCACAGCTCAGAGTGAAAAAGTGAAAACAATGATGTTCTGTTTGTTTCTGATGATGAACTGATGGAACCGTGGCTCCATCACTGACTTTCCCTCCGTTTCCCTCGGCGTTTTTTTCCAGCCTGCGACTGCGATCCTCGTGGGATCTCCAGCCCCCAGTGTCACCGGGCCACGGGTCAGTGCTCCTGTCTGGACGGTGTTTCCGGTCCCCGCTGCGACCAATGCGCCCGCGGACACCAGGGCGAGTTCCCCCACTGTGAACCCTGCCACAGCTGCTTCGCCAACTGGGACCTGGTGGTGCAGGAGCTGAAGAACCAGACGCAGCGGCTGGAGGCCCAGGTGACGGAGCTGCAGAGCACCGGCCTGACGGCGCCGTACAAGGAGCTGATCGCCAGCCTGGAGAACAACTCCAAAGCCGTGAGGGACGTCCTGGAGAGCAACCCTGCGGCTGTCAAGTTAGAGACGATCCAGGAGCTCATGAATCAGATCCTGTAGGTTCTCCACGGAGGAACGTCGACACAGAACTACATGTTGAAATAGATCAAAAAGATTAGCTGTAAAAAAAATAAGATCTGAGCATGAGGCAAATCAGTGACATAATCAACAAAAGATTTAAGCTAACAGCAAGCTAGCACATAAGGCTAATAATATAGCTAACTAATATATAACATCAAATATTTCAAAGTACATCAAATTAATAGTAGTACTACTACGAACTTACTAACTGAAGTTCAATTTTATTTCACGCTAACTTTAACGTTGAAGAAAAAAATTAAATTTAGCCTAAAATATTAGCTTATATGTATCGATTGCTATTACACAAATATCAAAAAGTCATACAGAAAAGGTTAAAGGTTAGTCACTAATTTAGCAAACGCTGCTAAAAGTTATCAAACCAAATCATTCAAAGTTAGCCGGACTAGCCTAGGGTACATTGTGTGTAGTGCAATTAGCTAAACGTTTGGTGCTAGACGTAGCAGCTAACCTCTGTCTCTCTCTGCCAGCGGTGTGACGTCCTACCTGAGTTCGGAGCTGAACTCCACAGAGGAGACGCTGCACCTCCTCCACAATGACGCTAACGCTACAGACTTCAGCCTGGAGGAGCTGCGGGAGCAAGCGAAGCTGCTGGAGCTGAGTGTAGAGGAGTTGATAGGACAGGTGGACGACGCCAAGAACGCCAACATCCAGGGTGAGCTCTGGCTAAGGGTTGATCGAAATGTTAACGTTAAATGTTAGCTAAGGACATTTTAACGTTGGAATGTTTGATTCGGAATCAAGCTAAATAAGACGACCGGGTTTCTGTTGGTGAGGAGAAGTGTAATAGCTAAAGGTTAGCAAAATATTGCTAAGAACAGACCGTAGAGTAGGTCTGTCAAACTCATTTTAAAATTCATCAGGTGGGCCAGATTGAAATCCCAAGTGGGCCAGTTTTGGCCCGTGGGCCGTATGTTTGGCGACCCTGGAACAGAGTTAAACATTGGTAAAGACAAAAATATGGCAAACCATTGGTCAATCTTTTAACAAATTAGCAAAGATATTCCTAACAGTTAGCTAAAAGGCTAACTAGCGTGCTGTCACCTGTGTGTTTTCAGGAGCTCTGGACACCATCAGTGAGGCCTACTCTGTGTCCACCACGTCTGAGTTCAGGGCCAACCTGTCCACCAGCAGCCCAGGAAACACGGTGGAGCAGTCGGCGTCAGTGCGGGCGTCCACGGAGGACAAACTTCAAAGCAGCCAGAAGGAGTTTGACAGGAAGGAGCAGAGGAACTCCCAGAAGCTGGACAAACTGTCCACTGATCTGGACCAGTTGGAACTGAAGTCCCTCAGTGAGAAGGTGAGACGTAGGGGGCGCTGACCCCACCAGGAGAGCACAGCTCCTTCTTTAACTCCTCTTCTCTTTGTCCCCCAGACGTGCGGAGGAGAAGCCGCTGAAGGAGACTCCTGCTCCTCCTGTGGAGGTCTGGGTTGTGTAGATGAGGATGGAGCTCCTAAGTGTGGAGGTGAAAACTGTGGAGGTCTGGTCTCCTCCTCCCAGGCTGCTCTGACGTCAGCCAAAGATCTGGACCAGGAGATCAAAGCAGCTGTGCAGGAGGTGGACAAGCTGTCCAGGCTGGTGAGGACACAGGAAAAGTTTTTTTTTTTTTTTTTTTTTTTTTTTTTTTTTTTGCTAAACTATTAGCTATTTCCACTATATCTATGACTAACTAAATGTTTTTTTGGTTAAGTCCTGGTATTTGAGCTAATTTTAAGATATTTTGGCTAACTTAGCTAGTTCAGCTAACTTGTTGACAGCTCATGACTGATTATGCTTCAGGTGTGGGATGCTAACGTTCGTGCTAACGAAGCCAAAGCTAACGCCATGGAGGTTCTGATCAGATCCAACCAGAGCAAGGAGAGGGTGGAGCAGAACAACGAGCAGCTGCGTCACCTCATCAAGGAGATACGAGAACTTCTCACCAGTAGGTGTCGCCACTCTGCTCTGTCCTCAGGTCAGGTCAAATCTGAGGTTTTTGTTGTTGTTGTTGTGATATTTAATTTGTTGTTTACCACAAACCAGACGAGAAGGCTGACGTGGGTGTCATCGAGAGAGTGGCCAATGAGGTGCTGGCTCTGGAGATGCCCGCCTCTGCAGACAAGCTCCAGGAGCTGACGCAGGAGATCAGGGAGAAGGTGGGAACGCTGACCAGTGTGGAGAACATCCTGAATCAAAGCGCTGAGGACATTCAAACGGCAGAGGAGCTGCTGAAGGAGGCTAAAGATGCTAGGTACATCAGGCTAAAATAGGCTAACTTCTTTGTTTGTCTATTTTTACTGTTTTATTTTCACAATGACGGCTCACTCTTCTTCTTCTGAGTAATTTGTTCATCTTTAACTGCTTAGAAATTATTTCCGAGTAATTTGTTCATCTTTAACTGCTTAAGCTAACCTTTAGCTGAATCTTTAATTTTGTTTCTGGCTAACATTAATTTGTATTTCAGCTAATTTTAAGATATTTCTGAAATACTTTTTGGCTATTTTGGTGTTATATTTATTTACTAAAGTTACCCCAATGTTAAAGTAACATAACGGTATTAATTTTTTTTTTTAATTCTGAGGGCAATCCTTCAGCAATTTTTGCTTCTTGTGGCTAACTTTTAGCTTGTACAAGTTTTCTAATAGCTTTTTTTTAGTAATTCCTTGACATTTTGGTTAATTTTTAACAAAATTTTAGTTATCATTAGCATCTGTTTTTGTGAAAATGCTACGCTAAATTTTCCCGCATGTCAAGCTTTTTTTGGCTAACTTTTAGCTCTTTGACGTGATTTTGACTTTAACATGGCTATTTTTTTTATTTCAATTTTTCAATCAAATGTTTCTCCTTTTGTCTCGCTAATTAAAATAACATAAACGGTGTTTTCACTCCTCAGTGAACAAGCGTCACAGGTGACGGAAGTAACGGAGTCGGTGAAGGCGGCTCTAGAGGAGACGGCACGAGCTCACGGCGTCGCAGCAGAAACGATCCAGCTGGTCCAGAACAACACCAGAGGAACGGTGGACCTGCTGCAGTCTGTGAGTCTGAGCGGGAGACTGGACACCCGAGTGTGTGTGTGTGTGTGTGTTATGGTGATGATAAACATCAGACATATATTTGTTAAAGGGTTATTAGCAAACGTGTGTGTGTTTCAGGTTGAGTCACAAACCGCTCAGTCGGAGCTGAAGCTCGGAAACGCCACGGGTCGTCTGGTTCAGCTGGAGAGAGAGGCCGGTCTGCTGAGACAGAACCATCTGGAAGTGACCGGACTGGCAGAGACGGCCAACCTGGTCGCTGACCAGGCCACTGTGGATGCGGAGACGGCCCAGAAGGTCACATGATCACCATCAGAACTTCAGAGACAACTCTGACTGGTCCCTGTAACATCTCTCTGTGTCTGTGTGTGTGTGTGTGTAGGAGTTTGAGGTGGATGTGAAGGAGAAGCTTGAGGAGGTGGAGGATCTGGTGGAGGATAAGGGAGAGTCAGTGCTGCAGGCCAGGAGGAGAGCAGAGGAGCTGCAGCGGGAGGCCAGAGAGCTGCTGGACCAGAGCAGCAGTAAACTCCAGAGACTGGGAGGTAAACACACACACACACACACACACACACACACACACACACGCACAAACACACACGCTGTAAATGCTACAGGACAGTTAGCTACAACCATACTGGTACAGACACCAGAGCTAACGTTAGCTACAACAGTCCTGGTACAGACACCAGAGCTAACATTAGCTACAACAGTCCTGGTACAGACACCAGAGCTAACGTTAGCTACAACAGTCCTGGTACAGACACCAGAGCTAACGTTAGCTACAACAGTCCTGGTACAGACACCAGAGCTAACATTAGCTACAACAGTCCTGGTACAGACACCAGAGCTAACGTTAGCTACAACAGTCCTGGTACAGACACCAGAGCTAACGTTAGCTACAACAGCCCTGGTACAGACACCAGAGCTAACGTTAGCTACAACAGCCCTGGT